TATTAGATATGCAACAGTCAGAGAAATAAACTTAGAAAGGACCTGTCCTAATGAACCAAGCAGTTAAAAATGGCCTGAGGGAGTTTTGTGCCTTCAGAGTTGCAAGATTCAGTTAATGTAGTGTCACAATAAAGTAGAATTAGTTCATCTAATCCTGTTCCCTCTCTGGTTTACCTGGGAGGACCGACAGTTGCATATCTAATAGGATCAAAGTTGTGGTAGACAAAGGCCATAATTTGTTCCCTACTAGCAATCGTAGGACAAGAGAGATCATTTCTGTCAACAGCCTATGCTAAACTCTCAGCGGCTGTTCTGAATCAGACCAAGGAACATCAGTTTCTCACTTTTAGTATCGGAGACAACCAGAGATAGATCTACTTTGAACATCAATAAATGAACTGCCTTGTCAGGGGTGTCTGAGGCGGCCCGAGTGCTCTGCCAGCAAAAATGTGCTCTCAAGCTCTGCTTCAGACTGCAACAGCCTCTGCCAGTGAAAATGGAGCTTCCAAGGGCCACATGTGGCCTACATGAGCCCCGTTTCTGGCTGTAATAGTCTCCTGCAACCCTCGAAAACGGAACTCGCAAGAGCCGCATGTGACCCTCCTGAGCTCTCATTTTCGCTGGCAGAGGCACTGCAGGCCGGTCTTTTGCTGTTTCCAGGGTGGCCCCATGGGCCAGATCGAAACCCCCCATGGGCCGGATCTAACCTGCAGGCCTTGAGTTTGACGCACCTGCTATAGACATTAGCAGAGCCCTTCTGTGGGACAAAACAAGTGGTCTTCTGGTCCCAGCCATGAATAGGAATCCTTTTAACTACACCTATGCCTAATAAGATCCACTGCTCTTAATTCCCAAAAACAGTACCTCCTGGCCCATGATCTTCTCACATTAGCTCTAGAAGACTGAGACATCTTATAGAACAGATTTTGAAAGCACAGAAGAAGAAAAATCCAGAGGGAAATTAAATCATAACACTAGGATGTATATTCTGCCTTTGTTTCACTTGTACTCTGAAAGTTCTGGGTGAATATGGTGTTTAGTCTTCTGGCCTTAAAGGAAAAGGTTCCCCTTGCATGTATGTGCTAGTCATTCCCGACTCTAGGGGGTGGTGCTCATCTTTGTTTCAAAGCAGAAGAGACAGCGCTGTCCGAAGATGTCTCCATGGTCATGTGGCCAGCATGACTAAATGCCAAAGGCGCACGGAACACACCAAGGTGGTCCCTATTTTTCTACTTGCATTTTTACATGCTTTCGAACTGCTAGGTTTATAGAAGCTGGGACAAGTAATGGGAGCTCACTCCGTGACACGGCACTAGGGATTTGAACCGCCGAACGTCCAACCTTTCTGATCGACAAGCTCAGTGTCTTAGCCACCGAGCCACGCCGTCCCACCTTCTGGCCTTACCCACCCACTATTCCCTGAGTCTCTCGTACCTAAACCCATTTAATTCCATTGTACCATGTGCAATGACAACGAAGTAAGCTAAACTGTTTGTAAGGAGGTATTGTAGATAAGGCTCCTGGCTTACCACATGCGCAACTAAAACATGGCATGCTTTAAATCCTATACCGTTTCATTCAGAAGTCACACATGACTATAACGGCAGTTGGGCAGCATATAAATTTAATAAATTATTATTATTAATCTTGATAATTAAGTTCTCTCTCTTTAATACAACAATTTGAAAATCATTAACCTAAGATTTGTAAGAGAATGGATGATAATACTAGGACTCTCCCTGCCATCCAATGTAGCGTATTCCAGAAATTTTTTTAAAAAGTACATACAGTGTTTGAAAATGCATTAGAGGGTTTTGAACCTGAAAATCTCCATTTCAAGTTTGTAATGCCATTTCCAGTGTCAGTCATTTCGAAAGCTTGGAACCATTGCATTTCAAGGGCAAAACATAGTATTTTGAGACAAAGGGCCCTCAAAGCGCTTAAGGCAAATTTGCTTCACATTTGGGACAAGCATGCTTCACCCTCAGGATGGATACTTTCAACCTGAAATGGTTTGAATTTGAATGGAGTTTTTCACATTCCTAAAACATACAGGTTTAGTATCTGAGATATATTTCTTCGTGGCCCGACAAAACCGCGCTAGTCAAAATACCAGCGACAAAACCGCGTCGCTAAAGCCGCGACGTCATCACCGCAACGTTATTACCGTGGCGACAACAGCGCGGCGACAGAAAGGCGCTTTAAAACAGCGCGGCGGCAGAAAGCCGATTTAAATTAAGGTAAGGGTTAGGATTAGGTTTAGGGGTTTGGTTTAGGGTTAGGTTAGGGTTAGGGTTAGGTTTAGGGTTAGGTTAGGGTTAGGGT